ACGACGACGATGACGACGATGACGACGATCCGCCCTCCCGCCCACCCAGAGCCTCTTCGACTTACGAGGCGACGTAGCCGTCGCTCCACGGTGCTGGACGGCACAAAGACAAAGATCTCCCGTGTAGCCTGTAACAGACTGTAGGGGCAAGTGCTGATAGCGAGCACCTATGAAGGCCGGCACGGCACACGAGGGGGTGGGTGGCCAGGTTCGTGGCGCTAACCACGACGCTACTGCTCCCTCCCCCACCCCACCGACATTGGAAGCGCGTTCCATCCCTTGGCTGCCGCTCCATTGTTAGTCTCGACCATCGTTCGTCATCATCGTCGTCGTCATCGTCCCATCTGGCCGTGACGCGTCCTGCCCAGGCTCCACTCACTCCAACCCACCCACTCACCCGTTCACTCAGCCCCTCGCTGACAGGAGGTCTCGGGACAGACCCAGCATGTGCCACGGCTTGGCTGACTGAGACGACCAGCAGATGCACCACCAGCCGTACTCCCCCCCCCCCCCACCACCGTGCCAACTCGCTGCATTTAATCCGCCCGGCGCTCCGCTCGTTGTTGTGAGCGTCGCTCCCTCCGCCCTCCGTTGTTGCTGGAGAGGCGACTGCCTCCAACTGCCCAGTAGCAGCAGCAGCAGCGTCCTTCACGAGCCTCCTCCACAGAGGCCGACCTTGACACCGCTGGCTACCGGTCATCTGCAAGTCCACTCAGCTCCACGTCCTACCGTAGCACCGCATCAGTCCGCCTCCGATGCGGCACTACAGCCGCACACACACACAGACACACACACAGACACACACACAGACACACACACATACACACACACACAGACACACACACGAGACACACACAGACATACACACAGACACACACACAAGACACACACAGATACACACACAGACACACACAGACACACACACACGAGACACACACAGACATACACACAGACACACACAAGACACACAGACACACACACGAGACACACACAGACACACACACGAGACACACACACAGACACACACACAAGACACACACATACACACAGAGATACACACACACGAGACACACACAGACACACACACGAGACACAGACACACACACGAGACACACACAGACACACACAGAGATACACACACAGACACACACACAAGACACACACAGACACACACACGAGACACACACACAGACACACACACGAGACACACACACACAGACACACGCACAGACACACACACAGACACACACACACAGACACACACAAGACACACACACACACAGACACACACAGACACACACACGAGACACACACACAGACACACACACGAGACACACACACAGACACACGCACAGACACACACACAGACACACACGCACACAGACACACACAAGACACACACACAGACACACACACAGACACACACACAGACACACACACAGACACACACACGAGACACACACACACAGACACACGCACAGACACACACACAGACACACACACACAGACACACACAAGACACACACACAGACACACACAGACACACACACACAGACACACACAAGACACACACACACACAGACACACACACGAGACACACACACAGACACACACACACACACGAGACACACACACACACAGACACACACACAGAGACACACACAGACACACGAGACACACACACGCACACACAGACACACACACAGACACACACACAGACACACACACCTCGCGAAAACAAAACTACCTGAAGACGGCGGGAGGATTCGCACATGTCCGCCCATCGTGACCCGGTGAGATGGAGGCGGGGGGAGGGCGGTCATCAACGCGCAAGCGTGTGGATGCAAAGTTGTCAACAACAACAACCTTTTCTCATCAGTCGTACCACACTCTTCCAATAAATCCGCCCGTCAAAAAATCCGTCAAAAATCAAGGCACTACCTCTAAACGGCGCCACCCCCCCCCCCCCCCCCCCCCAATTTACCCTTGAAGAGGTGAAACTAGCCATCAAAAAAGCCAAAAATTACTTCGCAATTGGCCCGGATGGCGTAGCGATGCCCCATCGCAAACACCTCGGCCCCCCTTTCGAACGAAGTTTCTCGCCTCCACCATTAACGCCTCACTCCCAGTGCAACATCATTCCGGCCATCTGAAATCATCGACAATCATCCCACTTCCAAAACCCGGCAAAGACTTCGATCAAGCAGCGTCCGACAGGCCGAATTCCCTACTTTGCCCATCGATCAAGATTTTAGAGGCCCTCATCCTTCCAATCATCACCGCCGACTTACCTCCATCATCTCACCAACACGGCTTTTGCCCTGCACACTCAACAACAACAACAACAGCTCTTCTCAACCTAACCACACAAATTGCAAACGGTTTCAATTAGAAAAAGCCCCCCCCCGCCATCCCGCACTATTGTCGCCTCCCTTGACATTACAAAGGCTTTCGACACCGTTAACCACCTCAACATCACCCAGGGTTCTACTCTACCATCAGGCCTTGTTTGCTGGCTTACAAATTACCTAAGGGGCCGCCAATCACTCGCTCTCTTTCGTGATATTCAATCCTCCTCACGAAACATTCATGCAGGAGTACCGCAAGGTTCCATAATATCCCCGTGCTGTTCAACGCCTACCTCCAAGATCTACCAACTCCTCCAAAAGAAGTACAAGTAGTCGGTTATGCTGACGACATCACAGTTTACACTTCTTATATATAAAAAATATATACCCAAAGTGGAAAAACTCCATCAACTCCGATCTAAAAAGGCTCAGTACTTTCCTAGCCAATAGATCGCTTCAACTCTCAACATCCAAATCAATTCACCCTTTTGACACCTGATCCTCATCAAGCCAACCTACATCCCAACGTCAAAATAAAAAAAAAACAACGCCTCCCACGAGCAAAAACCCCAAAAATACATTCTAGGTGTAACCTTTGACACCATATTCTTGGTTCTTTCGGTAAAGTCACGTAGAAGGGAAACAATAAAATGATATATATAAAACAATATACATATTTTTTTTACTATTGTATTGTTTCCCTTCTACGTGACGTTACCGAAAGAACCAAGAATATGAATCCCTGCAGTCACGAAAGCTTTAAATCAAAACTTTGACACCATGTTTAGCTTCGCTCAACACCGCAGAAACGTCCGTGCAAAAAGTTAACAAACGAAATAACATCTTACGAGCTTTAGCCGGCACATGTTGGGGTCAACAAAAGGAGACTTTACTCCTAACCTACAAAGCCATTGGACGTCCCATCATCAATTATGCCAGCCGCATTTGGTTGCTGAAACCTCTCCTCTAAAGGTTACCAAAAGCTCCAAACCTCCCAAAACCCCAGGCACTTCGCCTACCTATGGCGCCCATTGACCATCTCCACCAAGAAACCAAAGTTCTTCCGATTCAAGAACACCGCAAGCTTCTCACCGATCAATATCCGGCTTCATGCCACTCGACAGCGCATCCTTGCACAAAGCTACTCAAAGCCCCCCCCCCCCTGCACCTGCTAGGAAAATGAAACCCACCTTGCCTTCCTTCAGCTCTGCCAACGTGCGATCTACTTTAAACGCTCTTCCACCAAATAGCACCACCAAATCAATGTTGAACCACTTGCACACCGCTGCCACCATGCACTGCCTGAACTCCTACAAGGCCCCCCCCCCCAGTGTCGTGCTATAGGGGGTTGGTCCCCACCCATAGCAGACGACGAAAAATCCCAGACCCGGGCAACTCGCACAAAACTGGCTCAACTCGATTCAGGTTACGGCTGCTTCATGCTAGCCGACTATCAAAATCGAATCGACCCAAACGCCCCAAACTGCTCTGGCTAAATCCTTCCAAAGTGGCGGACACAACGCCACCTACAAACAGAAAGTGCGAGGAAAATAACAACAACAACAACAACAAATCAAAGTGACGACAATGACGAAAATTGGTCAGTGCTGTCCAAAACCGATCGCCGACTCGACGAATTAACAATCCGCCAGGGCTGTGTGTGTCTGTGTTGTTGAGTGTGTTGTGTGTGTATGTATGTTGTGTGTGTGTTGTGTGTGTTGTGTATGTTGTGTGTGTATGTTGTGTGTGTGTCTGTGTTGTGTATGTGTATTATGTGTATGTTGTGTGTGTGTGTTGTTGAGTGTGTTGTGTATGTTGGGTGTGTGTTGTTGTGTGTGTGTGTTGTGTGTGTATTGTGTATGTTGTGTGTGTTGTGTGTTGTTGAGTGTGTGTTGTGTGTGTTGTGTGTGTTGTGTGTGTGTGTTGTGTATGTTGTGTGTGTGTTGTTGAGTGTGTTGTGTGTGTATTGTGTGTGTTGTGTGTGTATTGTATATGTTGTGTGTGTTGTTGAGTGTGTTGCGTGTGTGTGTTGTATGTGTGTGTTGTGTGTGTGTTGTCTGTGTATATATGTTGTTTGTGTTGTGTGTGTGTTGTGTATGTTGTGTGTGTGCTGTGTGTGAGACTCAAACATTTCACGAGGATCTCAATTGGCGTGGCTGCCTGAACTTGGCGAGTTCCCTGATTTTTCTCCACCCCCCCCCCCCCCTAACAAACCCTAGAGGTGAGAGGGAACGGGGGGTGAAGGGTGTAAGGGGGACTGGCTGGGGGGGGGGTAACGGGGGGGGGGGGGGAGCTGGGGGGGTAAGGGGGGGGGGGCTGGGGGGGTAAGAGAGGGGGGCCTCGCTCTGCACGACAAGCGCTGAACTTTGCCCTGATCAGCGGGCACTCAACCGTATCTGCTGGGTCCGGCCGTTAAACGACGCTCGTCTCAAAGGTCCTCGTAATGATCAAACCGCCTGTGCCTGTCCCTCCAGCCCCTCGTGTCAGTGCTATCGGCCCAAGGCCCGCGCGTGTGTGTGTGTGTGGCACGCACGCGCGCGTGTGTGTGTGTGTGGCACGCACGCGTGTGCGTGTGTGTGTGTGGCACGCACGCACGCACGCGCGCGTGAGTCCCGCGCGCGTGCGCGCGTGCGTCTCTGCAGGTCATTATAAAGAGGCGCAGTTGACGGACAGCGGTTCCCCGATTTACGAGCCGAGTCAAATGTCCTGGGAGATGGGCAGACGGGCTGAGAAGGCGCCACGATTGGACCTTCTGAGCTGCACTCTCGACAGAGTCTGAGCACAATTTCTCTCGGTGGACTCTCTTAATAAAAAAAATAACTCCATGTCCACAGCGAGAACTTTCTCTCTCCATCTCGACTGGATCCTGACCACAGACTCTAGCCGCTCTCTGGACACCTCTGGGAATTTATCTATTCCGATTGAACCTCTTTGATAGGTGGTGGACTGAGCTATCCAACAGATCTCCCCTCTCTCTCTCTCTCAAACAAAACTCTTACGCCCACGCGATCTCATTCACCAAAAACCCCTTGAACCAGCCTCTCCAGCCGGACTCTCGAACCAGGCAGCTGCAGCATCATCACCAGCAGCAGCAGCATCAATCGGTTCCTTTCCCGCCGAACTCTCTCGACCCGCTCACCCACCACCACCAACACCACCACCACCCATAACCAAAACCACCCCCCCCGCCCCGTGCCAGCGATGGGCGACTTCCAGACGGAGGTGCGTGGCTTCACCACGTGGGACTACGTGGTGTTCTCCAGCCTCTTCGTCGTCTCGTCGCTCATCGGCGTGTACCACGCCTTCGCTGGCCGCGGAGGCTCCTCGCAGGAGTTCCTGACGGGCGGGCGTCAGATGACCGCGGTGCCCGTAGCCCTGTCGCTCACCGCGAGCTTCATGTCGGCGGTGACGGTGATCGGCGCGCCAGCCGAGGTGTACCGCTACGGGGCGATGTTCACACTCTTCTGCATCTCCTACACGCTGGTCATCGTCGCCTGCTCCGAGATCTACATCCCCGTCTTCTACCGCTCGGGAATCACCAGCACGTACGAGGTGACGTGTGGGAGGAGGACGTGGCGGGGGGGAGGGGATGGTAGAGGCGCGGTAGGAGGAGGTGGAGATGGTGGAGTAGCAGGAAGAGGAGGTGGATATGGTGGAGTCGCAGGAGGAGGTGGAGATGGTGGAGTAGCAGGAGGAGGTGGAGATGGTGGAGTGGCAGGAGGAGGTGGAGATGGTGGAGTAGCAGGAGGAGGTGGAGATGGTGGAGTAGCAGGAGGAGGTGGAGATGGTGGAGTAGCAGGATGAGGTGGAGATGGTGGAGTAGCAGGAGGAGTTAGAGATGGTGGAGTAGCAGGAGGAGGTGGAGATGGTGGAGTAGCAGGAGGAGGTGGAGATGGTGCAGTGGCAGGGGGAGGTGGAGATGGTGGAGTGGCAGCAGGAGGTGGAGATGGTGGAATAGCAGGAGGAGGTGGAGATGGTGGAGTAGCAGGAGGAGGAGGTGGAGATGGTGGAGTAGCAGGAGGAGTTAGAGATGGTGGAGTAGGAGGAGGTGGAGATGGTGGAGTAGCAGGAGGAGGTGGAGATGGTGGAGTAGCAGGAGGAGGTGGAGATGGTGGAGTAGCAGGAGGAGGTGGAGATGGTGGAGTAGCAGGAGGAGGTGGAGATGGTGGAGTAGCAGGATGAGGTGGAGATGGTGGAGTAGCAGGAGGAGTTAGAGATGGTGGAGTAGCAGGAGGAGGTGGAGATGGTGGAGTAGCAGGAGGAGGTGGAGATGGTGGAGTAGCAGGAGGAGGAGGTGGAGATGGTGGAGTAGCAGGAGGAGTTAGAGATGGTGGAGTAGCAGGAGGAGGAGGTGGAGATGGTGGAGTGGCAGGAGGAGGTGGAGATGGTGGAGTAGGAGGAGGTGGAGATGGTGGAGTAGCAGGAGGACGTGGAGATTGTTTAGTAGCAGGAGGAGGTGGAGATGGTGGAGTAGCAGGAGGAGGTGGAGATGGTGGAGTAGCAGGAGGAGGTGGAGATGGTGGAGTAGCAGGAGGAGGTGGAGATGGTGGAGTAGCAGGAGGAGGTGGAGATGGTGGAGGAGCAGGAGGAGGTGGAGATGGTGGAGTAGCAGGAGGAGGTGGAGATGGTGGAGTAGCAGGAGGAGGTGGAGATGGTGGAGTAGCAGGAGGAGGTGGAGATGGTGGAGTAGCAGGAAGAGGAGGTGGAGATGGTGGAGTGGCAGGAGGAGGTGGAGATGGTGGAGTGGCAAGAGGAGGTGGAGATGGTGGAGTAGGAGGAGGAGGTGGAGATGGTGGAGTGGCAGGGGGAGGTGGAGATGGTGGAGTAGCAGGAGGTGGAGATGGTGGAGTGGCAGGGGGAGGTGGAGATGGTGGAGTAGCAGGAGGTGGAGATGGTGGAGTAGCAGGAGGAGGTGGAGATGGTGGAGTATCAGGAGGTGGTGGAGATGGTGGAGTAGCAGGAGGAGGTGAAGATGGTGGAGTAGCAGGAGGAGGTGGAGATGGTGGAGGAGCAGGAGGAGGTGGAGATGGTGGAGTAGCAGGAGGAAGTGGAGATGGTGGAGTAGCAGGAGGAGGTGGAGATGGTGGAGTAGCAGGAGGAGGTGGAGATGCTGGAGTAGCAGGAAGAGGAGGTGGAGATGGTGGAGTGGCAGGAGGAGGTGGAGATGGTGGAGTGGCAAGAGGAGGTGGAGATGGTGGAGTAGGAGGAGGAGGTGGAGATGGTGGAGTGGCAGGGGGAGGTGGAGATGGTGGAGTAGCAGGAGGTGGAGATGGTGGAGTGGCAGGGGGAGGTGGAGATGGTGGAGTAGCAGGAGGTGGAGATGGTGGAGTAGCAGGAGGAGGTGGAGATGGTGGAGTATCAGGAGGTGGTGGAGATGGTGGAGTAGCAGGAGGAGGTGAAGATGGTGGAGTAGCAGGAGGAGGTGAAGATGGTGGAGTAGCAGGAGGTGGTGGAGATGGTGGAGTAGCAGGAGGTGGAGATGGTGGAGTGGCAGGGGGAGGTAGAGATGGTGGAGTAGGAGGAGGTGGAGATGGTGGAGTAGCAGGAGGAGGTGGAGATGGTGGAGTAGCAGGAGGTGGAGATGGTGGAGTAGCAGGAGAAGGTGGAGATGGTGGAGTAGCAGGAGGAGGTGGAGATGGTGGAGTAGCAGGATGAGGTGGAGATGGTGGAGGAGCAGGAGGAGGTGGAGATGGTGGAGTAGCAAGGGGAGGTGGAGGTGGTGGAGTAGCAGGAGGTGGAGATGGTGGAGTAGCAGGAGGAGGTGGAGATGGTGGAGTATCAGGAGGTGGTGGAGATGGTGGAGTAGCAGGAGGAGGTGAAGATGGTGGAGTAGCAGGAGGAGGTGAAGATGGTGGAGTAGCAGGAGGTGGTGGAGATGGTGGAGTAGCAGGAGGTGGAGATGGTGGAGTGGCAGGGGGAGGTAGAGATGGTGGAGTAGGAGGAGGTGGAGATGGTGGAGTAGCAGGAGGAGGTGGAGATGGTGGAGTAGCAGGAGGTGGAGATGGTGGAGTAGCACGAGAAGGTAGAGATGGTGGAGTAGCAGGAGGAGGTGGAGATGGTGGAGTAGCAGGATGAGGTGGAGATGGTGGAGGAGCAGGAGGAGGTGGAGATGGTGGAGTAGCAGGAGGAGGTGGAGATGGTGGAGTGGCAGCAGGAGGTGGAGATGGTGGAATAGGAGGAGGAGGTGGAGATGGTGGAGTAGCAGGAGGAGGTGGAGATGGTGGAGTAGCAGGAGGAGGTGGAGATGGTGGAGTAGCAGGAGAAGGTGGAGATGGTGGAGTAGCAGGAGGAGGTGGAGATGGTGGAGTAGCAGGAGGAGGAGGTGGAGATGGTGGAGTAGCAGGAGGAGTTAGAGATGGTGGAGTACCAGGAGGAGGTGGAGATGGTGGAGTAGCAGCAGGAGGTGGAGATGGTGGAGTAGGAGGAGGTGGAGATGGTGGAGTAGCAGGAGGAGGTGGAGATGGTGGAGTAGCAGGAGGAGGTGGAGATGGTGGAGTAGCAGGATGAGTAGAAGGAGGGTAACAATCGGAGCAGGAAGCACAGGAAGAAGAGGAGGAAATCGGATTACCGTCTAAATGTTTCGTGAATGTACTTGGATGATGATGATGATGATGGCTGATTGATGGGATACATGGAGGAGGGAGGAGGAGGGAGGAGAAGGAGGAGATGGGTGAGCAGAACGTAATCCGACAAGCTCCGTGAAACTAACAACCCCGATGCACCACTCGGCACACAGAGAGATGCTTCTCTACGCAATGAGAGGTGACGACAGCCCTCGGCGCACGCCGACGAGATCTGGGGTCGCGAAATCCTCCCGCGTCTGCGTTGCTCGCAGGAGATGTAAAGTTGTAGCACGGCCAGTAGGTTCGCGGGCCAAGTGTGGTGCTGAGCTGTGGGTGTTATCAGAATGGGAATCAGAATATGTATGTTTTTTTTTACTGGAGGAATCCGATGAGCTATGAAGCTCTTTCAACCACAGATGTCCGGTTAGTTATCCCCTGGATTTTCCGGGGGGAAACTCCAGTTAGGGTTTGTTGTTGTTGTTGTTTGGTTTGTTTGTTACTACCCACACGAAACGAGAGCTTCTCGTGAAGTAAAAGTTACAAAACTAATTGTGACGCATCGCAAAGTCGACCTGGCATCGCCAATGCGCAGAAGAGCACCCATCTCGAGACTGGTGGTGGTGGTTGGTGATGGATTTGGGGCACCACCACTCGCAAATCTGCAAAGCCCACGATGATCGCCGGCTCGATTCCATCTCGCGGTGCGTACCGGGTAGAAAAACGGGCGGCTTGCAAGTTGTTGAGTTTCATTACTTATCATCATCATTATTATTAGTATTAGATGCCCTAAATAGGCCAAGGCGCTGTAGACCAGGACGGAGTCGTCCGTCGGTCACAACGACGTTTAAGATCCCGTGACGTCGTTCGAACGAGAGCAAGCAAGCTACCCGTGTGTGTGTTTGTGTGTGTCACGATTGTCTGAACCCGATCCTGGGCCTTACCTTAGGTCTACTCAGCCTCAAATGAATATCTGGTGCGGTGGGTAGTAAACATCGCCACTGGATAGTAAACATCGCCACGTAGTAAACATTGCTGTGGAGACAAAGGCGGTCGGGCGTGGTGCTGGCCATCCACCCCCTTCGTAGGTGCTACTTGCTAACAGCACTTGCTCCAACAGACTGTGAAGGTTATATGGGGGATCTTTGTTTTTGGTGTGTGTGCGTGTGTGTACATCTGGCGTTACGGGGAGACAATTCGTTTTGGGGTTTCTTTTGACAAATTACAAATTATTGCCAATGTAAAAAAAAAAATCGGTAAACAACTCAGCCACAATTCGAGCACCCCCAGCCTACCAGACAAAATTCCCAACTGAGTTATTAACTTGCTTTTCAGAAGCGACCTGGCATTCAACAAAGTACCACCACCATCATTTGGCCATTCATCGCAGCCAAAATAATCTAAACGCATTTTTTAATATATATAAATGTGGAGGGAATGCAAATCCACGCGACCACGGGGAGAGACAAAGAGAGACGCAAACTCCAAATATACAGCAGCAGGCGTCAGGGTAGGGATTGAACCCACGACCTCCTGTATACCAGGCGAGGCAGTCAACATCTCCCAGCCACCGTGATGATGATGAGAGATGCAAACTCCAAATATACAGCAGCAGGCGTCAGGGTCTGGATCGAACCCACGACCTCCTGTGTACCAGGCGAGGTACTTAACATCTCCTAGCCACCGTGATGATGATGAGAGACGCAAACTCCAAATATACAGCAGCAGGCGTCAGGGTCGAGATCCCTGTCTCTGGAGCATCGTGCCTATGCTCTGTGACGGTGGGGCCTGATTGGACGGCTCCAATTCGGTACGCGGCCTTGCCAAGGCAAGAACACGGCCTTCCCACAATGCAATGGTGTTGGTCACATTTGCTTTTAGTTGTAACGTTAAGGGAAAAGCGAATTTCTCCAGGCGAAGTAATTCCTTTGTGATCGTCGGGAGGGAGTCGACAGCTCCCGATATTGTAGCTGGCCATGGGCCTGTTTTTCGTTGTTTTTAAACTGAGGTCTTTAGAAAAATAGAGCGTTTTAAAATTTATTTCTAATTCCCATCAGGGACCCCCCCCCCCTCCCCCCACGGTGTGAAACAAAGTGGGCATCTCCGACTCTCACCATCCACTCCGCCTTCCCCAGCGGCTTTCTCTATCCGTGTGCCCTGAAGAAGGTTCATCGACCGAAGCGTCGCCTATTTACACACACACACGCGCGTGCGCGCCTTGCTGGTGAGACCACGTTCACCCGTTTGTCGACGCGCGAGTCCCTTTGTGACGTCAGGGCGCGCCGCTCTCGCTTCTCTCCTTCATCCCGGCAGTACCTGGAGCTTCGCTTTAACCGCGTGGTCCGGCTGATCGGCACGGGCGTCTACATCGTCCAGACGGTGAGACACGTTGCCGCGGCGAGACACGTGACCGCGGCGAGACACGTGACCAGGGCGAGACACGTGGCCACGCCCTTGACCCGCGTAGGAAAGCTTTTCATAAGAAGAGGGGTTTTTTGGGGGTTAGATCGCGTAAATGTATAAATGTTGTGTCGTTAGAACCCGCCACCACCCGACACAGCCAACTAGTAAGGGGTTGTCACGTCAACAGAACGTGGCCAATTCGTCACTAGTACAGCATTAGTGTGTAGTGTAGTGTATAGTGTAGTGTATAGTATATAGTAGTGTAAAGTAGTGTAAAGTCTAGTGTACAGTTGTGTAAAGTGTAGTGTATAGTGTAGTGTATAGTAGTGTAGTGTATAGTGTAGTGTATAGTGTAGTGTATAGTAGTGTATTGTGTATAGTGTGTAGTATAGTGTATAGTGTAGTGTGAAGTGTAGTCTATAGTAGTGTAAAGTATAGTGTAGTGTATAATAGTGTAGTGTATAGTGTAGTATACTAGTACAGCCACACCGGTTGTGTGTTGGAGAGCCAAGCCACAACATTTACAATCTGAGTAACGACGTTTCGCCAGTAATCACAACCAGCTTCATCAGGCGACACCCAGATGTGTGAAGTCCACCTGTTTCGTGCCTTATACAGAGGCGTAGATGTGGCGACCACACTCTATTATGGATGATATTGGTCGCGAACGCCTACGTAGGCTTTGTGGCAGAGTTGCTGATGGTGATGATGCTGCTGATTCGTGCACTCACACACTGACTCGCCCCCTCATTCACTCACCCGCCATCTCACCCAATGATTCGTGTACTCACCAACTCATTCACTCACCCACCATCTCATCCACCCACTCATTCATTTACCCACTCATTCACTCACCCACCATCGCACCCAATGATTCGTACACTTACCCACTCATTCGTTCACCCACCATCTCATCCACCCACTCATTCACTCACCCACCATCTCACCCACCCACCCACTCATGCATCCACTCACAAACTGACTCACCCACTCATTCACTCACCCACCATCTCATCCATCCACTCATTCACTCTCACTCACTCACCCACCATCTCATCCACCCACTCATTCACTCACCGACTCATTCACTCACCCACCATCTCACCCAATGATTCGTGCACTCACCCACTCATTCACTCACACACTCATTCACTCACCCACCATCTCACCCACCCACCCACTCATGCGTCCACTCACAAACTGACTCACCCACTCATTCACTCACCCACCGACTCATTCACTCTCACTCACCATCTCATCCACCCACTCATTCACTCACCGACTCATTCACTCACCCACCATCTCACCCAATGATTCGTGCACTCACCCACTCATTCACTCACACACTCATTCACTCACCCACCATCTCACCCACTGATTCGTGCACTCACCCACTCATTCACTCACCCACCATTTCACCCACTGATCCGTGATCGCACCCACTCATTCACTCACCCACTCATTCACTAACCCACTCATTCACTCACCCACTCATTCACTCTCACTCACTCACCCACCATCTCATTCACCCACTCATTCACTCACCGACTCATTCACTCACCCACCAGCTCACCCACTGATCCGTGACCTCACCCACTCATTCACTCACACACCATCTCACCCACTGATTCGTGCACTCACCCACTCATTCACTCACCCACCATCTCACCCACTGATCCGTGAACTCACCCACTCATTCACTCACCCACTCATTCACCAACCCACTCATTCACTCACCCACTCATTCACTCATTTTTGCTGCGCTCTTGATTTCCCACACCCGACTAAACAAGTGCACTTGACAATCATTCTGCCTGGCAGCGCCGGATTGATGGCGGGTGGCTGAAACCCGGATTTGAACCCATGCCTTCGGCGTCGCCGGCTCAATGTAACCTCACCAACATCTCGTTGATTCCCATCTGACACCAATGGCAGTTGTTGCTCATGATGATGATGCTGATGCCGCTGACGATTCTTCTGCTGATGATGCTGGCATTACCATTGGTGCTGTTGCTGCTCGTCGTGATTCACCTGGTGGTGGTGTTGCTGCTGCTGCTGATGATGATGACGACGGAACACGTGCTGGTGCTGCTGATGATGCTGATCACGACGAGCGCTTCTCTCAAACCCTCACAGATCCTCTACACGGGAATCGTCATCTATGCTCCATCCCTCGCGCTCAACCAAGGTGAGCTTCTTCGTCACCTCCACCGCCCCCCCCCCATACTCCCGGTGGTGCCACGTTCGTAATCGTTCCGTCGGATGAGTTTCGTAAACTTTGGGGGGGGGGGGTGGGGGGGGGGTGCCTCTGTGGTCGGTCCCAAGCCCCATGCGTACCGCGGGGGATTCCGTGCCGAGCTACGATCTCTGAAGGGAGCGTATCAGTTGTCGTGGCGGGGACCGTTTATACGTGGCCAGCGTGCGCGTGTGTGTGAGTGGGTGGGTGAGTGTGTGAGTAAATTAGTGTGTGAGTGAGTGGGTGTGTGAGTGAGGGGGTGAGTGAGTGAGTGGGTGTGTGAGTGAGGGGGTGAGTGAGTGAGTGTGTGAGTGAGTGAGTGGGTGTGTGAGTGTGTGAGTGAGTGGGTGTGTGAGTGAGTGAGTGTGTGAGTGAGTGTGTGAGTGAGTGTGTGAGTGGGTGTGTGAGTGAGTGTGTGAGTGAGTGAGTGACTGTGTGAGTGAGTGAGTGTGTGAGTGAGTGTGTGAGTGAGTGTGTGAGTGTGTGAGTGAGTGTGTGAGTGAATGAGTGTGTGAGTGAGTTTGTGAGTGGGTGTGTGAGTGCGTGAGTGAATGAGTGTGTGAGTGAGTGTGTGAGTGAGTGTGTGAGTGAGTGTGTGAGTGAGTGAGTGTGTGTGTGAGTGTGTGTGTGAGTGAGTGGGTGTGTGAGTGAGTGAATGTGTGAGTGAGTGAGTGTGTGATTGAGTGTGTGAGTGAGTGAGTGGGTGTGTGAGTGAGTGTGTGAGTGAGTGTGTGAGTGGGTGTGTGAGTGAGTGTGTGAGTGAGTGGGTGTGTGAGTGAGTGAGTGTGTGAGTGAGTGTGTGAGTGGGTGTGTGAGTGAGTGAGTGTGTGAGTGAGTGGGTGTGTGAGTGAGTGCGTGAGTGCGTGAGTGAATGAGTGTGTGAGTGTGTGAGTGAGTGTGTGAGTGAGTGTGTGAGTGAGTGAGTGTGTGAGTGAGTCTGTGAGTGTGTGAGTGAGTGTGTGAGTGTGTGAGTGAGTGTGTGAGTGTGTGAGTGAGTGCGTGAGTGAGTGTGTGAGTGTGAAACGTGGACCCCTCTAATGGAACATCTTCGCCGGTTAGAAACATTTAGGCTAGCCTGCCTACGATCCATCCTGGGTTTAACCAGTCTGGATTGTGTGAGCTCACAAATCTTAGAAAGATCTGGGCAAGGTCCAATCGGTGAGCTCCTCCGGCAGGCAAGGCTGCGTTGGCTGGGTCATGTAGCCCGCATGCCGAGCCACCGCATGCCGAAACAGCTTTTGTTCGGCCGGATCGAGGGGGCTAAACGGGCGCGGCATGGGCTAGAGAAGAGATGGAGTGATGTGGTACAGGAGGACGTGGAGCTGAGTGGACTTGCCGATGACTGGTACCAGCGGTGTCAAGATCGGCCTCTGTGGAGGAGGCTCGTGAAGGACGCTACTGGGCAGTTGGAGGCAGTCCGCCCTCCAACAACAACGGAGGGCGGAGGAGCGACCCTCACAACAACGAGAGGAGCGCCGGGTGGCTAAAGCACAGCAGGTTGGCACAGTAGGGGGCACAGGTGGTGCATCAGCCACTCGTCTCAGTCGACCCGTGGCACTTGGGTCTGCCCCGTGACCTCCTGCCAGCGGGCGTTCAACACTTCACGTGGCCTCAAGGTGCACATGGCCTGGCACAAGCGTCGTGGTGACATCACCGCCACTTAGTGGCGAATGGCGGTTGTTGTTGTTGAGTGTGTGAGTGAGTGTGTGAGTGAGTGTGTGTGTTTGTGTGAGTGCGTGAGTGAGTGTGTGAGTGAGTGGGTGAGTGTGTGAGTGAGTGCGTGAGTGAATGAGTGTGTGAGTGAGTGTGTGAATGTGTGAGTGAGTGTGTGAGTGAGTGAGTGTGTGAGTAAGTGTGTGAGTGTGTGAGTGCGTGAGTGAGTGTGTGAGTGTGAGTGAGTGGGGAGCGGTGGTGCAGTGGTTAGCGCTACGCTGCGCTACGAACCTGGCTATGACCCTACTTACGAACCCCACTCACGGCAAACACCGGTGACGATTATCTGAACCGGACCTGGGCTTCCCCTAGGTCGACTCAGCCTCAAATGAGTTACCTGGTTGCGGTGTGAAGTAAACATCGCCACCGGGGGAGACAAAGGCGGTCGGGCGTGGTGTTGCCTCCCCCCCCCCGCGCGCTTCGTGTGTCACGTGCCGGCCTTCATAGGTGCTGCTGCCCGCTAAACTGCACTTGCCCCCGCTGCCTGTTGCAGGCTATATAATGGTGGGGAATTTTGTCTTTGCCCTCTGCTGCGCATAGTGACGGGTTTCACGTTGTGGGGATCAGTGGCAGCCACAGGCGTTGTCTGCACCTTCTACTGCACCCTGGTGAGTGTTCACACGCGATGGTCTGCACCTTCTACTGCACCCTGGTGAGTGTTCACACGCGATGGTCTGCACCTTTTGCTGCACAAAGATCTCGGTTTAAAAAAAAAACAAATCAATTCCCTCTGCCACGTCAAAATGCGAAAGCTGCCCTCTCTCTCTCTCTCCTTGTCATCCCTTCTCCCTCATCGTTACCCCCAGGGGCGGAGCCACGGGGGGGGGGGGGGCGGCTGGGAGGGGCTCAGCCCCCCCTGAAATTTTGGGAAAGTCGGTAATCGGGATGACCGGATATCCGGCTGCTGCAAGATGCTGCAGGCTGCCACCTCGTGTGCTGCCCTGCAGGCTGCCACCTCGTGCTGCCCTGTAGGCTACCACCTTGTGTGCTGCCCTGCAGGCTGCCACCTTGTGTGCTGCCCTGCAGGCTGCCACCTCGTGTGCTGCCCTGCAGGCTGCCACCTCGTGTGCTGCCCTGCAGGCTGTCACCTTGTGTGCTGCCCTGCAGGCTGCCATCTCGTGCTGCCCTGCAGGCTACCACCTCGTGCTGCCCTGCAGGGCAGCACGAGGTGGCAGCCTGCAGGGCAGCCTGCAGGCTGCCCTGCAGGCTGCCACCTCGTGTGCTGCCCTGCAGGCTGCCACCTTGTGTGCTGCCCTGCAGGCTGCCACCTTGTGTGCTGCTACCCTGCAGGCTGCTACCTTGTGCTGCCCTGCAGGCTGCCACCTTGTGTGCTGCCCTGCAGGCTGCCCTGCAGGCTACCACCTTGTGCTGCCACCTTGTGTGCTGCCCTGCAGGCTGCCACCTTGTGTGCTGCCCTGCAGGTTACCACCTTGTGCTGCCCTGCAGACTGCTTGAGCGGCAGCCTTTCGAACTTATCGAACTTATTAGCCACGTCAGCGGCTCCGACCTATTAATAGACTCCGCGTTCAAATCCAATAAAATTAGTTTTATACGTTTGTGGCACCCATTGAAAAACATAAACACTGGATATCTCACAGCCCCTCCCCCCCCCCCAAGTCAAAATCCTGGCTCCGCCCCTGGTTATCCCTCAAGAGCTCTTTGCTTCTTTCGGTAAAGTAACGTGGGTGCTACCTATGTGACTTTACCCACGTGACTTTACCCACGTGACTTTACCGAAATAACCAAAGCGTGTGGATTCCTGCAGTCACGCAAGCTTCAAATCAAGATTATCCCTCAATAACGTCAAGCATAGACTACGGGTCGACCTGATGAGCCAGACTACCCAGTAATCTCTCCCCCATATAACCTAACTACCACCACAACAACAACACCAACACGATTGTTGTTGTACTCATTTGAGGCTAAGTCAACCTAGGGGAGTCCCAGGACCGGTTCAAGTAATCGCCATCACTGGTGTTGGCCGTGAGCGGGCATTGAACTCGGCTCTCCGGGTTCATAACGCAGCGTAGCGCTAACCGCTACACTACCACCACCACCAACAACAACAACCGCCATTCACCACAAAGTGGTGGCGACGTCACCACGGCGCTGGTGCCAGGCTAGGTGCACGTTAAGGCCACGTGAAGTGTCGGAACGCCCGCTGGCAAGGAGGTCACGGGACAGACCCAGCAGGTGCCCACGGGTCGACTGACTGAGATGACTGGCCGATGCACCACCTGTGCCCCCTATGGTGCCAGGCTAGGTGCACCTGGAGATCACGGGACAGACCCAGCAGACCCAGCAGGTGCCACGGGTCGACTGACTGAGATGACTGGCCGATCCACCACCTGTGCCCCCCTACGGTGCCAGGCTAGGTGCACCAGGAGGTCACGGGACAGACCCAGCAGGTGCCACGGGTCGACTGACTGTGATGACTGGCCGATCCACCACCTGTGCCCCCCTACGGTGCCAGGCTAGGTGCACCAGGTCACGGGACAGACCCAGCAGGTGCCACGGGTCGACTGACTGAGATGACTGGCCGATCCACCACCTGTGCCCCCCTACGGTGCCAGGCTAGGTGCACCAGGAGGTCACGGGACAGACCCAGCAGGTGCCACGGGTCGACTGACTGTGATGACTGGCCGATCCACCACCTGTGCCCCCCTACGGTGCCAGGCTAGGTGCACCAGGTCACGGGACAGACCCAGCAGGTGCCACGGGTCGACTGACTGAGATGACTGGCCGATCCACCACCTGTGCCCTCCTACGGTGCCAGGCTAGGTGCACCAGGAGGTCACGGGATAGACCCAGTAGGTGCCCACGGGTCGACTGACTGAGACGACTGGGCCGATTGCACCACCTACGGTGCCAATTTGCTGTGCTTTAGCCACCCGGCGCTCCGCTCGTTGTTGTGAGCGTCTTGTTTGTACGAATAAATCAAAATCAAACCCTTTTTGCTGTGACTCTCCCCTTGTATGGTTTGGGGCAGCCAGAAGCCGTCCCCATCTGTCGATGATTCCTCCCCCACCCCCCCAACTTTTCATAACCGGTTTTTATTTGAATGTTGACGGTGTGTGTACGCGTAGTGTAGCGTGTACACAACGCGAATCGAACCCGGCGATCCGAGTTCGATTCGCGCTCACGGCCAACACCGGTGACGATTATCTGAACCGGTACATTGGCCTCCCCCCCCCCCCCCCCCTAGGTGGACTCAGCCTCAAATGAGTACCTGGTGACGGTTTGCAAAAACATCGCACACTGGGAAGACAAAGGCGGTCGGGCGTGGTGCTGGCCACCCACCCCCTCGTGTGCCGTTCTGGCCTTCATAGGTGCTACTCGCTAACAGCACTTGCCCCTACAGTCTGTTCGAGGCTATACAGGGGATCTTTGTATTTGTGTGCACGCGTGCGTCGCAACGCAGTATATCAGGCCCACTCATTGCCTCCATAAAATAATATAAATAACATTATAATTTTTTATTGTTGTTGTAAAAATTACGCACCAAGTGAACGCGAAGAAGTGTCCACGAACGCCCGTGTTAGCAGCAGGTTCTTCTTATTGTTGTTGTGTACGCGTTGCCTTACAGCACTTGCCCCCCAACAGTCTACTGAGGCTACACGGGGGTTCTTTGCCTTTTGCGTGTGTGTGTGCGTGTGTGCGCCTGGGGAGCGGTGGTGGAGCGGTTAGCGCTACGCCGCGCTACGAACCCGCACCGCTTGCTGGCACAAAACCAGCGACGATGGTCTTAACCGCTTCGACTTATGTTCAAATGAATGTGCGGTGTGCAAACTCATCACCGCCAGGCGTACAGAGGCGGCACCGGGGCGTGGGTGTTAACCACCCAATCCCCTCGTGTACCTTACGGCCCGGCCTTCATAGGTGCAACTCGCCAAAACGGCACTTGCCATCCAAGGCTACACGGGAGATCTGTGTCTATGTCTTGTTGGTTGTTTCGGTAAAGTCACGTGGATGGGAATTTTTTATTTATTAAATAATAATAAAACCACGACGTTTCGATCGCAACGCGTGCGGCCTTCATCAGGCGGAGTGAAAGCACCAAGAATATGCATTTTTGCAGTCACGAAAATTTACAGTAAAAAAATCTGCGTCTATGTCGTGTGTGTGTGTGTGCGATTCCTCAGGGCGGCCTCAAAGCCGTGGTGTGGTCAGACGTGTTCCAGATGGTCGTGATGGTGGGAGGATTCCTGATGGTCATCATCCAGGGCTCTCTCATGAGCGGTGGCCTCGACGGAGTGTGGCGAGTGGCGGAGGAAGGAGGCCGCATGCACATCTGGGAGTGAGTGGGACCCACGGGGAACTGGGTGTTCGGGACGGTGCCGTCTAGCAGGGGTCACGAGGAGAGGTCATCCGATGACAAAGTTATCGGTGACGATATTTTTGGTTTTCATTTGAGTCATCGGGGGCCCCACCGGGAGTGAACGTAAGTCATCGTGGAGCCTGGCGATGACCACCAGGCCGAGCTACATCGTCGCCACCTCCATCGTCATCATCACCACCACCACCACCACCATGATCATCTCCATCATCACCACCACTACCACCATGATCATCACCACCACTACCATCATCACCACCATCATCCCCACCACCATCACCACCATGATCATCTCCATCATCACCCCCACTACCACCATGATCATCACCACCACTACCATCATCACCACCATCCTCCCCACCACCACCATGATCATCTCTATCATCACCACCACCACCATGATCATCTCCATCGTCACCACCGCCATAATAATCTTCATCATCACCACCACCACCGCCATGATCATCTCCATCATCACCATCACCACCATAATGATCATATCCATTATCACCACCACCACCACCATCATCATCATCATCTCCATCGTCACCACCACCACCACCATGATCATCTCCATCACCACCACCACCATAATGATCATATCCATTATCATCACCACCACCACCATCATCATCTTCATCTCCATCAACACCACCACCACCATGATCATCATCATCATCACCACCACCACAATCATCATCATCATCTCTATCATCACCACTACCATGGTCATCTCCATCATCATCACCACCATGATCATCATCACCACCGTCATCACCACCACCACCGTCATCACCACCACCACCATCATCACCACCACCACCATCACCACCACCACCATCATCATCATCACCACCACCACCATCATCACCACCACCATGATCATCACCACCACTACCATTATCACCACCACCATGATCACGTCCATCAACTCCGTGACCTACGACACCCTCCACGCGTGCATCATTCAATAACCCATCGGCTGTTTGCGAGCACCTATTAAGGCACGCACCCCCCCACCCAAACCCCCGTGAGTGGTAATCGAGCCGAAGTCGGCAGCGATGTCGTCGCGAGTGCGCCAACTGTTGCACCGCCGCTCCCCCTGCAGTTGACTCTCTCACACACCCCACACGCGCCTCGCCACGTGTGCAGACACGTGGCGAGGCGCGCGCGCGTGTACACACACACACACGCATACACACGCATACACACACTCACACGCGCATGTAAACGCACACACGCACGTACACACACGCACATGTACATGTACACGCACACACGTGTACACACGCGCATGTACACACACGCATGTACACACGCACACGCACATGTACATGTACACACACAAAGATCCCCCATATAGCCTTAACAGACTGTAGGGGCAAGTGCTGTTAGCGAGCACCTATGAAGGCCGGAACGGTACACGAGGGGGTGGGTGGCCAGCACCACGCCCGACCGCCTTTGTCTCCCTAGTGGCAATGTTTACACACCGCACCAGGTACTCATTTGAGGCTGAGTCGACCTAGGGGAGGCCCGGGACCGGTTCAGATAATCGTCACTGGTGTTGGCCGTGAGCGGGAATCGAACCCGGGTCGCCAGGTTCATAGCGCAGCGTAGCGCTAACCGCTACACTATCGCACATGTACACACACATGCACATGTACACACACACACACACGTACACACACGCATGTACACACACACGCGCATGTACACACACGCATACACACACTCACGCGCGCATGTACACGTGCGCGTGTGTGTGCGTGCGCGCATCGCAGCTTCAGCCCGGACCCCCTGCACCGCCACACGTTCTGGACCTTCCTGGTGGGCGGCACCTGCACCTGGCTGGGCATCTACGGCGTCAACCAGTCGACTGTGCAGCGCTGCATCTCCTGTCGCACCGAGAAGCACGCCAAGGGGTGACACCCCCCACCCACCACCACCCCCCCACCACCACCCCCCCACCACCACCCACCCAACACCACCCCTCCCCACCACCGCGCCCACCCCCACCGCGCCCACCCTACCCCAACATCCCCCATCGCCCCCCCCCCCATTGCCCCCACCCCACCGCGCCCCCACCACCCCCCACTCCACCATCCCCCACCGCCCCCCCACCACCCCCCCCCCCCGCCCACCCCCTCCCCCCCGCCCACCCCCCCGACCCCCCCTCGACACCTCCCTCCTCGCGCGCCTTGCCAGCCTCCATCGGGTGCCCGCTAACTGCACGGCGGCGGCGGCGGTGTTGGTGGTGTTGGTATTGGTGGGGTTTGTACCCTGTGCAGGGCGCTCTACCTCAACTTAATCGGCCTGTGGATCGTGGCTCTGTGCGCCGCGCTCTGCGGGCTGCTCATGTACGCGCGCTACGCCACCTGCGACCCCTGGAGCGCCGGGTTCGTCAACGCCCCGGACCAGGTGACCAGCGTCCAGACCCCCTCCTTGCTGAACCCTGACCCCCCAGTCCCTCCTTGCTGAACCCTGACCCCCCCAGTCCCTCCTTGCTGAACCCTGACCCCCCCAGTCCCTCCTTGCTGAACCCTGACCCCCCAGTCCCTCCTTGTTGAACCCTGACCCCCCCAGTCCCTCCTTGCTGAACCCTGACCCCCCCAGTCCCTCCTTGCTGAACCCTGACCCCCCAGTCCCTCCTTGCTGAACCCTGACCCCCCCAGTCCCTCCTTGCTGAACCCTGACCCCCCAGTTCCTCCTTGCTGAACCCTGACCCCCCCAGTCCCTCCTTGCTGAACCCTGACCCCCCAGTCCCTCCTTGCTGAACCCTGACCCCCCAGTCCCTCCTTGCTGAACCCTGACCCCCCAGTCCCTCCTTGCTGAACCCTGACCCCCCAGTCCCTCCTTGCTGAACCCTGACCCCCAGTCCCTCCTTGCTGAACCCTGACCCCCCAGTCCCTCCTTGCTGAACCCTGACCCCCAGTCCCTCCTTGCTGAACCCTGACCCCCCAGTCCCTCCTTGCTGAACCCTGACCCCCCAGTCCCTCCTTGCTGAACCCTGACCCCCCAGTCCCTCCTTGCTGAACCCTGACCCCCAGTCCCTCCTTGCTGAACCCTGACCCCCCAGTCCCTCCTTGCTGAACCCTGACCCCCCAGTCCCTCCTTGCTGAACCCTGACCCCCAGTCCCTCCTTGCTGAACCCTGACCCCCAGTCTCTCCTTGCTGAACCCTGACCTCCAGTTTCTCCTTGCTGAACCTTGACCCCCAGCCTCTCCTTACTGAACCCTGACCCCCAGCCCCTCCTTACTGAACCCTGACCCCCAGCCCCTCCTTACTGAACCCTGACCCCCAAACCTGCGTGTTATAACAGTTTTCTTTGCACCGTTCATAGAACGAGAATGTTTGGAGGAACGATGGCGCAAGTTCTGCCGCCGATGAAATGACGATGATGACGATGGCAATGTTGATGATGACGATATTGACGACGACAACGACGATGATGATGACGACGACGACGATGATGACAACGACGATTAGGACAATGATGACGACGACGATGACGACGACGATGACTACAATGATGACAACGACGATGGCGATGACGACAATGATGATGACGATGACAATAATGACGATGATGTTCCCCTAGCTAATGCCCTACTACGTCCTGGACATCCTTGGGGACTACCCGGGTCTGCCCGGGGTTTTCGTGTCGTGCGCCTTCAGCGGGACCCTGAGGTGCGAACCCTCCCTCCCTCCCCCCCTCCCCCTCTCCCTCCCTCCCTCCCTCCGTCCCTCCATCCCTCCCTCCCTCTCTCCCTCCCTCCCCCCCTCCCCCCTCCCTCCCTCTCTCCCTCCGTCCCTCCCTCCCTCTCTCCCTCCCTCCCTCCCCCCCTCCGTCCCCCCCGTCCCCCCCTCCCCCCCTCCCCCCCTCCCTCCCTCCCTCCGTCCCTCCCTCCCTCCCTCCCTACCCCCTCCCCCCCTCCCCTCCTTCCCTCCCTCCCTCCCCCCCTCCCTCCCTCCGTCCCTCCCTCCCCCCCTCCCTCCCTCCCCCCCTCCCCCCTCCCTCCCCCCCCTCCCCCTCTCCCTCCCTCCGTCCCCCCCTCCCTCCCTCCCTCCCCCCCTCCCACCCTCCCTCCCTCCCCCCCTCCCTCCCCCCCTCCCTCCTTCCCTCCCTCCGTCCCTCCCTCCCTCCCCCCCTCCCTCCCTCCCTCCCTCCCCCCTCCCTCCCTCCCTCCCTCTCTCCCTCCCTCACGACGAGTTGCTTCTGCCGCTCACGACGACCTCTCTCCGTGTTGTCGGGGGCTAGGCCACGTGGTGGTTGCGGTTTGTGGCCGTCCATAAATGACGACACGAGATTTTGAACGATTATTGACCTCCCCCCCTCCCCCCTCCTCGTCACACGACGTCACAAAAAGTCAGACCCCGCCCTCTCAAATATGACGTCACAAAGCTCTGCCCCGCCCCCCCCCCCCCCCTCAAACCATATTTCCATTTTAAAAATAAACCATGCTTCAAATCGTTTTAAACTATCGTCACTGTGGTGCGTATTAAATGTGGCACCGCACTCTGACGTTGCAGGAGTGTAAGGATGGCAGCTGCGGGGGAACTGGGGCAGCCCTCGTGATGGGAGGTCGACTCAGCCTCAAAATGAGTTTCCTGGTGCGGTGTGTAGTAAACATCGCCCACTGGGGGAGACAAAGGCGGCCGCGCGTGATGCTGGCCACCCAATGCCCCTCGTGTGCCGTTCCGACCTTCACAGGGTGCTGCTACTCGCTAACAGCAAGCACTTGCCCCGACAGTCTGCTCAGGCTATACAGGGGATCTTTGTCTTTGTCTTCCCCCCCCCCCTCCTCCTACCCCACAGCACCGTGGCCTCGAGCATCAACGGTCTGGCGGCGGTGACCTTCGAGGACATCGTCAACCCAACCTTTGGGCCCTTTCCCGGCAAGCGCGGAGCCCTCCTCACCAAGGGCCTCAGTGAGTGAGCGCGAGCCTCGGCGTGGACCCCCGTGGTGTCGACGGCCGCGACCTCCCGCTCCGTGCCATTCGCCTTCGGGCCCCCCCCCCCCCCACCACGGCCTGCCCCCCCCCCCCTCTCTCTCTTCCTATCGCAGTGGGCACCGGCACCACCGAAGGACGCGCGGGTCTCGCGGAATCCGCGTGGCCAACCGCGTGTCGTTCGTTGCCAGTTATGCCCAATACAACGACGACGACAACGACAACAACCGCCATTCGCCACTAGGTGGCGGTGACGTCACCACGACGCGTGCGCCAGGCACCAATGGGATCCGACACGCGTACACCGTCGGACATTTTAACAAGAAGCGGCTGCGAACAGGCGTGGTCGGTAGGTGTGTCCTCCTGAAGGCCGTGGAGGAAACGGATCGGAGAATGAACGCACGTCAGGGTCGCACTATTGCCATGCGACGGTGAGTGGGTTCGGGTAGCCAAAACGTCGCGATGGGGGATGCTGGCCGGAGGAATAGGACTGAAGGCTAAATGGCAGCAGTACTCCCCTGCCTCTCACCTCGCATCTCACTCCACTCACCTCCACGCTCTCTCCTACCTCTCCCCTCTCATCTCACTCCACTCCCCTCCACGCTCTCTCCTGCCTCTGCCCTCTCATCTCACTCCACTCCCCTCCACACACTCCCCTACCTCTCCCCTCTCATCTCACTCTACTCCCCTCCACACACTCTCCTACCTCTCCCCTCTCATCTCACTCCACTCCCCTCCACGCTCTCTCCTGCCTCTCCCCTCTCATCTCACTCCACTCACCTTCATGCACTCCCCTACCTCTCCCCTCTCATCTCACTCCACTCCCCTCCACGCTCTCTCCTGCCTCTCCCCTCTCATCTCACTCTACTCACCTTCACGCACTCCCCTACCTCTCCCCTCTCATCTCACTCCACTCCCCTCCACGCACTCCCCTACCTCTCCCTTCTCTTTCCACTCCAGCAACCAAAGCAATGCTAACCCCCTACCCCCTTCGCATAGTGGGAGGTCGCCCATTCTCCTCTGCTGTTCCCATTGTTTAGAACTCCCTGCTCCTCTCCAACTCCAATCTCAAATGCTTCGCTGAGCACAACAAAGACAAAGATCCCCCGTGTAGCCTGTGAGAGACTGTTGGGTCAAGTGCTAGTAGCGAGCAGCACCTGTGAAGGCCGGCACGGCACACGAGGGGGTGGATGGCCAACACCACGCCCGGCCGCCTTTGTCTCCCCCAGTGGCGATGTTCACTACACACCGCCCCAGGTACTCATTTGAGGCTGAGTCGACCTAGGGGGGGGCCCAGGTCCGCTTCAGATAATCGTCACTGGTGTCGGCCGTGAGCGAGAATCGAACCCGGGTGGCCGTGGTTCGTAGCGCAGCGTCGCGCTAACCGCTGCACCACCGCTCCCCCTGTCGCTGACCACACACACACTCACTCACACACTCACTCACGCACACACTCACACACACACTCACTCACACACTCACTCACGCACACTCACACACGCACTCACTCACACACTCACTCACACACTCACTCACTCACACACTCACTCACACACTCACTCACACACACACACTCACTCACACACACACTCACACACTCACTCACTCACACACTCACTCACACACTCACTCACTCACACACTCACTCACTCACACACTCACACACTCACTCATTCACACACTCACTCACACACTCACACACACACTCACTCACACACTCACACTAACTCACTCACACACTCACTCACTCACACTCACTCACACACTCACACACTCACTCACTCACTCACACACTCACTCACTCACACACTCACTCACTCACACACTCACTCACACACTCACGCACTCACTCACACACTCACTCACACACTCACTCACACACACACTCACACACACATTCACACACTCACTCACACACACACTCACTCACACACTCACACACACACTCACACACTCACTCACACACTCACACACTCACTTACACACTCACTCACACACTCACTCACTCACACACTCACACACACACTCACACGCACACTCTCTCACACACTCACACACTCACTCACACACTCACTCACACACTCACTCACACACTCACACACTCTCACACACACACAGATACTCACGCACTCACACACTCACTCACACACTCACTCACACACTCACTCACACACTCACACACTCACTCACACACTCACACACTCTCACACACTCTCACACACTCACTCACACACTCACTCACACACTCACACACTCACTCACACACTCACTCACAGATACTCACGCACACGCTGGCCACGTATAAATGGTACCCGCCACCACGACTGACGATGTTGACGATGTTCGTGAGGATGACGGTCTATGGTGTTCATTCACCCGATGATGATGACGATGATGATCATGGCAGTGATGACGTCAATGACGATGGCAGTCACAACAGTTGTGATGATGACGATGAAGATGGTGGCGTTGATATTGACGATGAGAATGAGGATGATCATGGCAGTGATGACGTCAATGACGATGACAGTCACAACAGTTGTGATGATGACGATGAAGATGGTGGCGTTGATATTGACGATGAGATTGACGATGATCATGGCAGTGATGACGTCAATGACGATGACAGTCACAACAGTTGTGATGATGACGATGAAGATGGTGGCGTTGATATTGACGATGAGATTGACGATGATCATGGCAGTGATGACGTCAATGACGATGACAGTCACAACAGTTGTGATGATGACGATGAAGATGGTGACGTTGATATTGACGATGAGAATGAGGATGATCATGGCAGTGATGACGTCAATGACGATGACAGTCACAACAGTTGTGATGATGACGATGAAGATGGTGGCGTTGATATTGACGATGAGATTGACGATGATCATGGCAGTGATGACGTCAATGACGATGACAGTCACAACAGTTGTGATGATGACGATGAAGATCGTGGCGTTGATATTGACGATGAGATTGACGATGATCATGGCAGTGATGACGTCAATGACGATGACAGTCACAACAGTTGTGATGATGACGATGAAGATGGTGACGTTGATATTGACGATGAGAATGAGGATGATCATGGCAGTGATGACATCAATGACGATGACAGTCACAACAGTTGTGATGATGACGATGACGACAATGCTGAAGACGGTGGTGTTGATATTGACGATGAGAATGACGATGATCATGGCAGTGATGACGTGAATGACGATGACAGTCATAACAATTGTGATGACGATGATGACGACAATGATGAAGATGGTGGCGTTGATATCGACAATGAGAATGACGATGATCATGGCAGTGATGACGTCAATGACGATGGCAGTCACAACAGTTGTGTTTATGACGATGACGTCAATGAGGATAGTAGTCACAACAATTGTGATGACGATGAAGATGGTAGCGTTGATATTGACGATGAGAATGAGGATGATCATGGATGGCAGTGATGACGTCAATGACGATGGCAGTCACAACAATCATGATGACGATGAAGATGGTGGCGTTGACATTGACGATGAGAATGACGATGATCATGGCAGTGATGACGTCAATGACGATGGAAGTCACAACAGTTATGACGATGATGACGATGAAGATGGTGGCGTTGATATATCGACGATGAGAATGATCATGGCAGTGATGACGTCGATTGCAGTCACAACAGTTGTGATGACGACGATGATGACGATGGCAAAGATAATGACGACGATGATTTTTTTGTGTCCGCCAAGGTGTGCTGTATGGAAGCGCTTGCACTGCGATGGCCGTGGCGGCGTCATACATGGGACAGGTGCTTCAGGTGAGAGCACGTGCCAGGTGTATGATCTACACAGGAGGAGGAGGGGGGGGTGGTGGTATGGGGGTTGCCACGTGTCTGACCCGACCACCAAAATGCTGCCGAAATAAACGTCGCCCAAACTTTTTTTATTTTTATTTAAAGCCTTTCGTGACTGCAGGGATTCATATTCTTGGTTCTTTCGGTAAAAGTCACCACCACGTAGAAGGGAAACAATAAAATAATAAAAATATAAACAATAACATTTTCTGGCTGTGGTTTTCACACCTGGTGATGACTGTTTGTGTTGCAGTCGAAACGTCGTGAGAATTTTATTGTTTTATATTTTTATTATTTTATTGTTTCCCTTCTACGTGACTTTACCGAAAGAACCAAGAATATGGTGACAATGTTGATGGTGATGACATGATGGTGGTGGTGGTGGTGGTAATGATGATGACAAATTATGGCCATGCTGATGATGACGATGATGGTGGTGGCGGTGGTGATGATGATGATTACAAATGATGACCTTGCTGATGACGATGATGGCGGTGGTGATGATGATGACAATGTTGATGGTGATGACATAATGGTGGTGATGATGATGATTACAAATGATGACCTTGCTTATGACGATGATGGCGGTGGTGATGATGATGATGATGACAAATGATGACCTTGCTGAGGATGACGATGACGGTGGTGGTAATGATGACAAATTATCGGATTGCTGATGATGACGATGGCGGCGGTGGTGATTATAATGACAAATTATGTCCTTGCTGCTGCTGCTGATGATGATGATAATAACGATGGTGGCGGTGCTGCTGCTGCTGATGATGATGATGATGATCACGCTGGCGCCAACGATGGTGACAATGTCGACTCCGCTCGCAGGCTGCGCTCAGTATCCACGGCATGGGTGGCGGTCCCGTGCTGGGACTGTTCACCCTCGGCATCCTCTTCCCGTGTGCCAACGTCAAGGTGAGTGGCACGTGGCTCGCCGAGTCAGCGCCATCGGCCGAGCCCGCGTGACGTGCGCGTCATCATCATCGTCATCATCAACAAGAACGGCAAGAGCAAAGCGGCCGGTGTGTCGTGCTGCCGCTCCGCCATGCGACGCGGCCGGCGAATGAATATGCCGCTCGCTGAACGAACGCACGCACACACAGTGTGTACACGACGCACAGTGTGTACACGACACACACACAGTGTGTACACGACGCACAGTGTGTACACGACGCAGCTGCACACAGGGTGTACACGACACACACACACAGTGTGTACACGATATACACACAGTGTGTACACGATACACACACAGTGTGTACACGACGCAGCGCGCACACACCCAGTGTGTGCACACGACACACACACAGGGTGTACACGACACACACACACACAGGGTGCACACGACACACACACACAGTGTGTACACGACATACACACAGTGTGTACACGATACACACACACAGTGTGTACACGACGCAGCTGCACACAGGGTGTACACGACACACACACACACAGTGTGTACACGACACGCAGTGTGTACACGACATACACACACAGTGTACACGACACACACACAGTGTGTACACGACATACACACACAGTGTGTACACGACATACACACACACAGTGTGTACACGACATACACACACACAGTGTGTACACGACATATACACACAGTATGTACACGACACACACACACAGTGTGTACACGACGCACACACACACACAGTGTGTACACGACGCAGCTGCACACAGAGTGTACACGACACACACACAGTGTGTACACGATATATACACACAGTGTGTACACGACACACACACACAGTGTGTACACGACACACACACAGTGTGTACACGACATACACACACAGTGTGTACACGATACACACACAGTGTGTACACGACACACACACAGTGTGTACACGACACACACAGTGTGTACACGACATACACACACAGTGTATACACGACATACACACAGTGTGTACACGACACACACACAGTGTGTACACGACATACACACACAGTGTGTACACGACATACACACACACAGTGTGTACACGACATACACACACAGTGTGTACACGATACACACACACAGTGTGTACACGACATATACACACAGTATGTACACGACACACACACTGTGTGTGTACATGACACACACACAGTGTGTACACGACACACACACACACAGTGTGTACACGACACGCAGTGTGTACACGACACACACACACAGTGTGTACACGACACACACACAGTGTGTACACGATATACACACAGTGTGTACACGATATACACACACAGTGTGTACACGACATACACACATAGTGTGTACACGATATACACACACAGTGTGTACACGACATACACACATAGTGTGTACACGATATATACACACAGTGTGTATACGACACACAGGGTGTACACGACATACACACACAGTGTGTACACGACACACACACAGTGTGTACACGACACACACACAGTGTGTACGTACACACACAGAGTGTGTACACGACACACACACAGTGTGTACACGACACACACACAGTGTGTGTACACGACATACACACAGTGTGTACACGATACACACACAGTGTGTACACGACACACACACAGTGTGTGTACACGATATACACACAGCGTGTGTACACGATATATACACACAGTGTGTACACGACACACACACAGTGTGTGTACACGACACACACACAGGGTGTACACGACACACACACAGTGTGTGTACACGACATACACACAGTGTGTACACGATATATACACACACAGTGTGTACACGACACACACAGTGTGTGTACACGATATACACACAGTGTGTACACGATATATACACACACACAGTGTGTACACGATATACACACAGTGTGTGTGCACGACGCACACACACACACACAGTGTGTACACGACATACACACAGTGTGTACACGACACACACACACAGTGTGTACACGATATACACACACAGTGTGTACACGACATACACACACACAGTGTGTACACGACATACACACACAGTGTGTACACGATACACACACACAGTGTGTACACGACATATACACACAGTATGTACACGACACACACACTGTGTGTGTGTACATGACACACACACAGTGTGTACACGACACACACACACAGTGTGTACACGACACGCAGTGTGTACACGACACACACACACACAGTGTGTACACGACACACACACACAGTGTGTACACGATATACACACACAGTGTGTACACGATATACACACACAGTGTGCACACGACATACACACATAGTGTGTACACGATATACACACAGTGTGTACACGACATACACACATAGTGTGTACACGATATATACACACAGTGTGTACACAACACACAGTGTGTACACGACATACACACACAGTGTGTACACGACACACACACAGTGTGTACACGACACACACACAGTGTGTACGTACACACACAGAGTGTGTACACGACACACACACAGTGTGTACACGACACACACACAGTGTGTGTACACGACATACACACAGTGTGTACACGATACACACACAGTGTGTACACGACACACACACAGTGTGTGTACACGATATACACACAGCGTGTGTACACGATATATACACACAGTGTGTACACGACACACACACAGTGTCTGTACACGACACACACACAGGGTGTACACGACACACACACAGTGTGTGTACACGACATACACACAGTGTGTACACGATATATACACACACAGTGTGTACACGACACACACAGTGTGTGTACACGATATACACACAGTGTGTACACGATATATACACACACACAGTGTGTACACGATATACACACAGTGTGTGTGCACGACGCACACACACACACAGTGTGTACACGACATACACACAGTGTGTACACGACACACACACACAGTGTGTACACGACATACACACAGTGTGTACACGACACACACACAGTTTGTACACGATATACACACAGTGTGTACACGACACACACACACAGTGTGTACACCTACACACACACACAGGGTGTACACGACACACGCACACACAGTGTGTAAACGATCTACACACAGTGTGTGTATACAACGCACACACACACACAGTGTGTACACGACACACACACAGTGTATACACACACACAGTGTGTACACGACACGCAGTGTGTACACGATGCACACACAGTTTGTACACGACACACACACAGTGTGTACACGATATACACACAGTGTATACACACACAGTGTGTACACGACACGCAGTGTGTACACGATGCACACACACAGTGTGTACACGACACACACACACAGTGTGTACACGACACACACAGTGTATACACACACACAGTGTGTACACGACACGCAGTTTGTACACGACACACACACAGTGTGTACACGACACACACAGTGTATACACACACACAGTGTGTACACGACACGCAGTGTGTACACGATGCACACACAGTTTGTACACGACACACACACAGTGTGTACACGACATACACACAGTGTATACACACACAGTGTGTACACGACACGCAGTGTGTACACGATGCACACACACAGTGTGTACACGACACACACACACAGTGTGTACACGACACGCAGTGTGTACACGATGCACACACAGTTTGTACATGACACACACACAGTGTGTACACGATATACACACAGTGTATACACACACAGTGTGTACACGACACGCAGTGTGTACACGATGCACACACAGTTTGTACACGACACACACACAGTGTGTACACGACACACACACAGTGTATACACACACACAGTGTGTACACGACACGCAGTGTGTACACGATGCACACACAGTGTATACACACACAGTGTGTACACGACACACACACAGTGTATATACACACACAGTGTGTACACGACACGCAGTGTGTACACGATGCACACACACAGTGTGTACACGATGCACACACATATGCAGTGTCCACGGCATGCACAAAATATCCTGCGGTGAGCGATCGCAGTGGGCCAAATCTGAACAATTTTCACTTTGCTTGCCATCGTCTTCGTCGTTTACGTCGTCATCAGCATCGTCGTCATCATTGTCGTCATCGTCGTCATCGTCACCATCATCGTCGTCATCATCATCATCATCGTCATCATCTTTGTCGTCATTATCATCGTCGTCATTGTCATCTTCGTCGTCATCATCATCATCGTGATCATCTTCGTCGTCATTATCATCGTCGTCATTGTCATCATCGTCGTCATCATCATCATCGTCATCATCTTCGTCGTCATTATCATCGTCGTCATTGTCATCATCGTCGTCATCGTCGTCGTCATTATCATCGTCGTCGTCATCGTCGTCGTCATCATCATCGTCATCTTCGTCGTCACCATCATCGTCGTCGTCGTCATCATCATCATCATCGTCATCGTCGTCGTCGTCATCACCATCACCGTCGTCGTCATTGGACGCGCGCCTCCCCCCCCCCCTCCCTTCCCCCGCCATGCGTCGTGCCGCCGTTCCCCCAGGGCGCGATCGCGGGCACCGTGGCCGGCGTGGTGATGTCCTTCTGGATCGGCCTCGGGGCGCTCCTCTACCCACCCACGGACGAGCAGAGCCGGGCGCTGCCGCTCTCCACGCAGAACTGCTCACGGCCCAACACCACCGCCCCGCCGCCCGGGGACGGATCCTCGACCACCTGGGCCAGCGCCTCCACGCTCGCCGCCTTCACGGAGGAGGCCGAGTACAGGTACGGTGACCGATTCGGAGACGCTGACAGCTGGAGTTGAGCACGCGCCGACCGGCTCACGCTGCCAATGAATCCGTCTATAGCCGACCACGATTCACAGTGAGGACAGCCGGTGAGACTGGTGACGCCGGCAGCAACACCACGGGGATCCCGCTCACACACGACAGCCCCGAGGTCCCCACTAGGGGGCCCCTCTTATACACCTGCCGGCGTGGCCTGGCTCCGCCCCCGGCCACGCCCCCTTTCTAGAACCTCCCAGCGGCCGCATCGCGTGAGCCTGTTGCCGTCAGGGCTGCGGTGAGCTGCGGATCCGCTTCCCCGCCAGCAGCCAGGGCTAAGCCGCCACGCAGCTAAATCTACGTCACGACGCCGGTGCCGGCTTGCCTCGGCGCTGCCACCTGGCACGACGCCAAGTCGCGGTGGGGTCGACCGGCCGCGGCGCCGAGGTTGGCCCCCCGGCTCTCCGCCGTGGTCGCGGTTGGGCACAGGCGCGGCACGGGGACGTGGTGAGGGGTGGGGGGGCAGAGACGCAGGGGTGGAGGAATCGGCGAGCGAAGTTCACGGGAACGTCGAGGGGTCGAGCGGGGTCGCGAGGGGTCACGAGGGGGGTCGCGATGGGCCTCACTGGTCTCTCGGTCCCCAGGCCCGACCTGGCAGACTCGCTCTACGCCGTCTCCTACCTCTACATCAGCACGGTGGGCGCCATCACCGCCGTGCTGGTGGGCCTCGCCGTCAGCATGGCCACAGGTGAGGAGGCGGCCCACGGGTGCCACCCTAGGGGGGGGCAAATTCTCCCAGGTGTTCACATCTTTTTGAAGCACGCTTGTGTGTGTGTGTGTTTGTGTGTGTGCATATACACGTAGTGTGTGTACACATATACATGCAGTGTGTGTACATGTACATGTAGTCGCGCCCGCTGCACCCTAGTAGCTGGCACCACCGACTGGATGACCCCCCCACCTCCACCCACCACCACCCACCCCCACCACCCACCCACCCCCACCCCCCCCACCACGGCCGTACTGACGAGCGTCCCCGTTGGCCTGGCAGGTCCCACGAAGGGCGCGAGTCTGAGGCCCGGCCTCGTGCGCCCCGTCTGTGACCTCTGCTGCTTCTGGTCGCAGAAGATGAGGCGCCTGCTGTGGTGCGGGGTGAGGCACGGCGAGGACGAGCCTCAGGTGAGCCGACACGCGGTCACGCCACGCCCCCCACTCGACACACGCCACGCCCCCCCCCCGCCCCCACCCCCCCGCCGCCCACTCCACGCCCCACCCCCCGACCACTCCACGCCCCCCACCGCACCCCCCCTCACCACTCTCCGCACGCACTGCCCACGCCACGCCCCCCACCGCCCACACCACGCCCCCTACTGCACCCCCCTCCCCACCACTCCCCACACGCACCGCCAACGCCACGCCCCCCACTGCCCACACCACGCCCCCCACCGCACCCCCCCTCCCCACCACTCCCCACACGCACCGCCCACGCCACGCCCCCTCCACCGCCCACACCACGCCCCCCACCGCACCCCCCACCACTCCCCACAGGCACAGCACACGCCACGCCCCCTCCACCGCCCACACCACGCCCCCCACCCGCACCCCCCCTCCCCACCACTCCCCACACGCACCGCCCACGCCACGCCCCCTCCACCGCCCACACCACGCCCCCCACCGCACCCCCCACCACTCCCCACAGGCACAGCACACGCCACGCCCCCTCCACCGCCCACACCACGCCCCCCACCACACCCCCCCCCACCACTCCCCACACGCACCGCCCACGCCACGCCCCCTCCACCGCCCACACCACGCCCCCTCCACCGCCCACACCACGCCCCCCACCGCACCCCCCCTCCCCACCACTCCCCACACGCACCGCACACGCCACTCACACGTTTTTGGTGTTCGCCTCTCTGCAAAAGGAGCCCGAAGCGATTCAAGTGGAGGTGCCGAAGCAGCCGCTCGACACGAATGGCCTCGATTCGTACTCGGCGAGTCCCGTCAGGCAGACGAAGCTGTAGCGGCGTGGCGCGCCTCTAAAACGGAACCTCGGAGAAGCGGACGTGGAGGGGATGGGGTCCATCCATCTGGTCGTGACCCCAACGTGACCCAAACGGACCGGGATGGTCGTGACCCCAACGTGACCCAACCGGACCGGACTAAGATTTGGACTTGATCTCATCTCGTTGGTCTCTCTCCTCTCTCTCTCTCCTTGCGAGCGTGTGTTGTTGTTGTTGTTGTCGTGTTTGTTTTCATCCCAGCGGCCCACTTTGTTTCGAGTAACCCTTTACACGTTCTCGTTCGAGACCGGTGCAGATGGTGACCGGCCAAAAATTAAAAAATAAAAATGTTTGTGAGATGGAAAAACAATAACAACAACAATAACAACAACAATAACAACAACAATAACAACAACAATAACAACAACAATAACAACAACAGTACGGATGAGACAACAATCCTCATCCCTTCCTGTGTTGCTGCTGCTGCTAACTCCTCTTAGTTCAAACACAAGGGCTGAGTGATGAATCGTCTCTCAGTTTCAGTGGGGGTTACGGTATCGATTAAAGATTCATCTGTGGGGTTGTTTTTTTGCATCTCCTCGTATTGTTTGTTTTTTTGTTTATCCGCTCTGGGTGGAGTTTGGTGGGAGGAGGGGAGGTGGAGAATGGTGGGGGGGGGGGGGGGGGGGGGGGCAAGGCTCCCCCCCCCCATCCTCCTGCAGTGTACATAGTGTGATCCTGATGCAACAATTTGGGGCTGAACCAAAGCTCGGCTCGTAACGTGGGAGAGAGTAAATGGAAACAAACTTAGATTCGTTTTCACTTACCGAGAAAGTTATCGCCGAGCATATCTGGCTCGTTAAGCGAGACGCGCCTTGTACAATCCCGAGCGATCCCAGTCAACGGAAGGGCAGCCCCACCCTCAGCCACGACACCTGGCTGGCTGGCTGGCTGCCTTGTACCTCTTTGCTTCAAATCAGAGCTGCTGCCCACTGTTGTAATCGACCGCTCGATTTGTCGAGCGTTTGCGAAATAGGACAATAGTGAGCGGGCAATGAATCATTCTCTACCCCCCCCGACCTCGTCCACACGTGCAAATCCCACCAATCGCGTGCAAGGCGGTAACTCTGCCGCGCTCCTGTGAGTGGTCGTCATCCACTTCCGTACACGTGCGGGTTAAGCCAATCGCAAAGCTCAGTGTCGCACCCAATTGGGTGCCGTGCAAGGCGTCTCTCAACTGATGGGGTGCTCCGGCTGCGACGCAATGCAGCCATGCCGGTGGCCAGCGTCGTAAAACACAAAACGTGCCCGTAACATTTGACATTTTTCAGCAATGGGCCCGCACACACACAAACACCACACACACACACCACACACACACACCACACACACCACACACACACACACCACACACACACACCACACACACACCACACACATCACACACACACACATCACACGCACACATCACACACACACACCACACACACACCCCACACACACACCACACACACACCACACACACACACCACACACACACCACACACATCACACACACCACACAAACACACCATACACACACACCACACACCACACACACCAGACACACACCACACACACCACACACACACCACACACACACACCACACACACCACACAAACACACCATACACACACCACACACACCAGACACGACACACACCACACGCCCCACCCACACACACACACCACACAAACACCACACACACACACCACACACACACCACACACATCACACACACATCACACACACACCACACACACACCACACACACACCACACACACCACACACCATACACACCACACACACCAGACACACACCACATACACCACACACACCACACACACACCACACACACACCACACACACACTACACAAACACCACACAAACACACCATACACACACCACACACACCAGACACGACACACACCACACGCACCACCCACACACACACCACACACACCACACCACACACACACACCACACACACCACACACACACCACACACACACACCACACACACCACACACACACACCACACACCACACACATCACACACACCACACAAACACACCATACACACACACCACACACACCATACACACCACACACACCAGACACACACCACATACACCACACACACACCACACACACACCACACACACCGCACACACAACACACACACCACACACACCACACAAACACACCATACACACACACCACACACACCAGACACGACACACACCACACGCACCACCCACACACACACACCACACACACCACACACACCACACACACACCACACACACGACACTACACACACGACACTACACACATACCACACATACACACACCACACACAACACCACACACACACCACACACACACACCACACACATACCACACATACATACTACACACACACACCACACACATACCACACATACACACCACACACCACACACACACCCCACACACACACCACACACACCACACACACACCACACACACACACCACACACATACCACACACACACACCACACATACACACCACACACACCAGACACCACAAACACACCACACACACCACACACACACACACCACACAGACACCACACAAACACACCATACACACACCACACACACCAGACACGACACACACCACACGCCCCACCCACACACACACCACACACAAACACCACACACACACACCACACACACACCACACACATCACACACACACACATCACACACACACACACCACACACACACACCACACACACACCACACACACACCACACACACCACACACCATACACACCACACACACCAGACACACACCACATACACCACACACACCACACACACACCACACACACACCACACACACACACTACACACACCACACAAACACACCATACACACACCACACACACCAGACACGACACACCACACGCACCACCCACACACACACCACACCACACACACACACCACACACACCACACACACACCACACACACCACACACACACACCACACACACACACCACACAAACACACCATACACACACCACACACACACCATACACACCACACACACCAGACACACACCACATACACCACACACACACCACACACACACCACACACCGCACACACACCACACACACACCACACACACCACACACACACCACACACACCACACACACCAGACACGACACACACCACACGCACCACCCACACACACACACCACACACACACACCACACACACACACCACACACACACCACACACACACACGACACTACACACATACCACACATACACACACCACACACAACACCACACACACACCACACACACACAAACCACACACCACACACATACCACACATACATACTACACACACACCACACACATACCACACATACACCCCACACACACACACCACACACACACACACCACACACCACACACACACCACACACACACACCACACACACACACCACACATACACACCACACACACCAGACACCACAAACACACCACACACACACCACACACACACACCACACACACACCACACACACCACACGCACCACACACACCACACACACACACCACACACATACCACACACACACACCACACACACCACACACACCACTCACATACCACACATACATACCACACACACACCACACACATACCACACGCACACACCACACAAACACCCCACACGCACACCACACACCACACACACACACCACACACATACCACACACACCACACACACACACCACACACACACCACACACATACCACACATACATACCACACACCACACACATACCACACGCACACACCACACAAACACCCCACACACACACCACACACACACCACACACACACCACACACACACACCACACACACACCACACACACCACACACACCACACACACATACCACACACACACTACACACACCACACACACCACACACACAATAAATGTCAACTTTCCCAGTCACACAAAGAATCCACCTCCATACGGTGTCTGCAATAGCGTCCTCCTTTGGTTAGGCATAACTTTTATTGAGCCATACATTGTGAGGCCTTTCGAGCAAAACCCGGAGAATAATAACAACGAATGTTAGACCAACATGGCACAACAAAATACTCAAGACAACAACAACAACACACACACAAACTCAAGACAACACACACGAAAAACTCAGGCGTAGACCGACTCTTCTCCAAAGGTAATCCTCCTGTCACCAATCCCACTCCTAGCCCCGCCTCCCCACTTCAAGCCCCTCCCCCCACTCCAAGCCACCACCCCCCCCCCCACTCCTAGCCCCCCCCCCCCGCCACCAACCCCCCACCCCGCCACCAACTCCACCCCACTCCTAGCCACCAACTCCTCCCCCCCCACCACCAATCCCCCCCCCACTCCTAGCCCCCCCCACCAACCTCCCACCCCGCCAGGACCCCCCCCCCGCCACCAACCCCCCACCCCGCCACCAACCCCACTCCTAGCCACCAACTCCTCCATCCCCCCCCCCCCACTCCTTGCCCCCCCCGCCACCAACCCCCCCCCCCCCGCCACCAACCCCCCACCCCGCCACCAACCGCCGCCCCCCCTACTCAAATATCTTTCCAACAAGCCCCATCCCCCCCCCCCCACCATTCCACCCCAACCCTCTCCCCCATCCCCCCCGGGGCACACACCCTCCCCCCCCCGCCGCCGCCACACTCCCCCCACCCCCACCCCCACCACCCCCACCACCCCCTCATCCACCTCCACCACCCCCACCCCCACCACCACCCCCACCACCCCCACCACCCCCACCCCCCCCACCCCCACCCCCACCACCACCACCCCCACCACCCCCACCCTCACCACCCCCACCCCCACCACCACCCCCACCACCCCCACCACCCCCACCACCACCACCACCCCCACCACCACCCCCACCACCCCCACCACCGCCACCCCCACCACCCCCACCCCCACCACCACCACCCCCACCCCCACCACCACCCCCTCATCCACCTCCGCGAAGTCGACAGAAGTCCGGCCCGACGCTCCTCTCGGTGCAGTCGGTGGTGCGCGTGTCGCAGCGGCGGCACGCGCACGACACCGCCGAGGGGACGGCGGTCGTGGCCGCGAGGGGTCGCGCCGCGCACCCGGGCAGCGCCGCCGTCTCGTAGCGCACCTCGGCGTAGACGCAGGCGCGCTGCACCGAGCGGCCGTGGCGCGCGTAGCTTTGCTGTGTGTGTGTGGAGGTGGGGGGTGGGGTTGGGGGGGGGGGGGTGGGAGCGGTGGTGCAGCGGTTAGCGCGCTGCGCTAATTAAAGAAAACGAGCCTGGAGCACGTGGGTTCGATTCGCGCTCACGGCCAACGCCCGGTGACGATTGTCCGAACCGGTTTCCTTGGCCTGCCACTAGCGTCGACTCGGCCTCAAAGAAGCATCGCACACTGGGGGAGACAAAGGCGGCCGGGCGTGGTGCTGGCCACCCACCCGCTCGTGTGCCGTGCCGGCCTTCATAGGTGCTCGCTAACAGCACTTGCCCGCGTTCGGGTGACATCACCGCTCACTTAATATATGCATTATTGCGACCCCCCCCCCCCAATTTTTTTTTTACAAAAGTATATTTTTTTTACTTTTTGCATTGTGTACAGTCTGGAAGCTACCCACATGCCAAATTTCAAGTTTGTCGCATGTCGGGAAGTATGCTAAAAACATTTCGAACAGACACACGTATTCGCAAATTTCCCTTTAATGCATAGAGGTGATTTGTTCCCCGTCGGTTTTGTACTCGCCCGAGGTGCCAACCCTGACCGCAGCCACGACGCATCTTCACCTTCTGCCCTCGCATGGACTAATAGCAGCGGGTGACAGACGTCATTGCAGGTGCGAGTGATCCGCTCAGTTGCGTGTTCAGACGCAGGGTGGACCTGTCGTCCCGCATCCCCTCCTATAAAGGAGTGAATACAGCGGAGAGGTTTGCAACGCGGTGAGAATCTTTGCGAGGACGTCTCTCTTCGCTCGGGATAGGCCCCTCGAAACGTAGCTTGGCAGCACAGACGAACCGAGCGGGCCGATGGAACGACTCGTCTGGCCACCCCCACCCCGCCCCCCGCCCCCCAAGGAAGACCTTTTTCTATTACCCGGCTCGTCCGTTTCTATTGTAACCCAAAGTTCGACTGGCGACGCACGGTTTCATCAGCGGTGCCGCTCCTCACGAACGTCGTTCGCGTAACAGCGAGGGCCAAGCGTAGGCTGAGCATCGCCCCCGAACACCCACACATCCCCACCCCCAACCACCAAACCCCACCGAGTCACAACGCACAACAGAAGCGACACCTCCCCCCCCCCACCCAATTCTCTCCCACCTTGGTCACGCACGCGCCCTGGCAAATGGTCGTGTTCACGTAGTAGCAGGTGCCGCACAGCGAGTCCTCGATGGCGACGGTGGCGATTCGGGCCGCGCAGTGAGACCTCGCTAGGGCCGGCGACTTCAGCGTCAGCGCTAAGGCGAGCACCAGCAGCAGCAGCAGCAGCGACGATTCGCAGCCACAGCGAGACCCAGCCATGGCGAGCTGCAACACAGAAAACGAGGTTCGCTTCATTGTTCCAGAGAAAGAGATGGGGGGGGGGTTGTTTTTGCTTTGTCTATTGTTGGGTGACTATTCACACGCCCATGGGTGACACTCGACAATTGTTTCGCGGAGACCGATTCGACGACACATCGCAGCTACTGCCATGGTCTGCGCAATGTCGTCCCAAAGTATTTGCGATGCCCTCTTTGGTGGGAGCGAGTTTTTTTTGACTCGATAGTTTGAATGGCTGGAATTGCAAGCCTCCTACAGCACCTAGAATTAGCAGGCAGTCTCCCTTCCAGGCAGAGCCTAGAAGCGGCTTATCGTGGCTGGAAAGGGCGCTTGTGCTACGATGAAAAAAACATTTTAAATGTTTTTTATTTTCACCAGGTAAGGCCCCCCCTGAGCTACGTAGCCGCTGTCTTTCAGGAGCGACCTGGCCATCACGAATGACAGCGCCACGAAGTGGCTCATCACCACGTGGACAATAATATCGGGAGCCAAATGCTGTACTCTAAACGCGTGAGTTTCTAAATCAGGAGGGAAAAACCAGAAAACCCGGAGAAAAAAAATTCACGTGACCACGGAGAGAATGAGAGACGCAAACTCCAAATACACAGCAGCAGACGCCAGGGTCGCGATCGAACCCACGCCATCCTGTATACCAGGCGAGGTAGTTAACATCTCTTAGCCACTGTGGTGATGATGACAGACGCAAACTCCAAATATACAGCAGGCGTCAGGGTCGCGATCGAACCCACGACCTCCTGTGTACCAGGCGAGGTAGATAACATCTCCTAGCCACCGTAGCACCCCACAGTGACGAGGAGAGAGACACGCAAACTCCAAATATACAGCAGGCGTCAGGGTCGCGATCGAACCCACGACCTCCTGTGTACCAGGCGAGGTAGTTAGCATATCCTAGCCACCGTGGCGCTCTTCCGCGTAGCTCAGCGCCTGGGGCACTGCGATCTCGTGGAGCCGCGGGGTGGAGCTGCACGGCCTGTACACTCACCACTACCGCCATCACTACCACCACCATCATCATCATTACCATCCCCACCACCATCATTATGCTCATCATCATCACTACCGTCATCATCATCCCCACCACCATCATCACCATCCCAACTACTATCATCATCATTATCACCACCACCGTAATCATCATCAACATCATCATCACAACCATTATCATCATTATCTCCACCACCACCATCATCATGCCCACCACCATCATCATCACCATCATCATGCTCACCACCATCATCATCCTCACCACCACCATCATCATCGCCATCATCATAGTCAACACCACCATCATTCTCACCACCACCACCATCATCATCATAATCAACACCACCATCATCCTCACCACCATCATAATCATAATCCCCACCACTATCGTCATCCCCATCACCATCATCTCTACCACCATCACCACCACCACCACCATCATCATCATCCCCACCAGCATCATCATCCCCACCACCACTATCGTCAAACAACAACAACAACAACAACCACTTCCAACATCACCACCACCACTCGTATCATCACCATCAGAGCCTCAACCATCCCAACAACAACCACCACCACCACCACCGCGGCTGTTGTCACACCTGCGTACAGGTGCTCCGCCAAAGTATTTAGGTGCGAGCGGACAACCCTCCCCGCCTTTATACCCCGCGCGCAAAGCTCTGCCCAGATCTCAGATTGTCTCCTGTTCTGCGTCACAAACACGGCCGCGTCGGTCCGTCCAGATAGTCACCCTTAGCTCCACGACCTCGTTTAATGTTACACGCTGACGGGGCCCCCCCTTTTTCTTTAGTAATCTGCGGACAGCTGGCTTCGAGCGCTTGTTGACGCCGCTCTGCTCCGTCGTCGGCTGTGCGTGGGTCTCGTTGCGAGTCGGCTGGACAGCGCCCGGATGAAGCTGGTGCGGAGCCTGTATAGCGAATGTTATATAGGGGCCCTAAATGGAATAAAAACAACACGTAAATATTTAAAGCACGTCAATGTTTAACTTTGCATCGTCAAGTAATTGTACTTTTTTTTTCCTTTTGGTTACAGCAGCTCGGATAATACGACAAATCGCTAACCTTAAACACCCCGGTCGTTTATAAAAGTTGTAGGCGGTATAGTACTATGGTAATCGAGCAAGTGCAGAATCACTGAGCCGGAAATTGATAGCTTGAAAGCATTGAGCGCTGGGCCCTTGAAAGTGCGAGGCCCGTAGCTACACGTGCAGTAGCTACATGTGTAGTAGCTACTACTAGCTACTACTATAGTAGCTAGTAGTAGCTACTTTTGCAACTCGGATAATTGTTTTGTTGAATCCATCTGTGCGACACTTCTGTGTGTTGTTACGTTACACCCCCCCCCCCCCCCCCCCCCCCCCCGTATCACCACCACCACCACCGCCACCCGCTGCCTGTTATAGAGAGCAGGACGCGGCTGGGATTGTCTCTAGAGGGTTCTTCGGTTTTCGCTGCCACGCGTTGAGTCGAACTCTCGATTTCAAGTGACATTCACGTCCGACGGGGCAGCAGCAGCAGCGGCAGCAGCGGCGGCACCACCACCACCCCTGCTGACGACGAGGCCCTCTTGGAGGCTCAGTGGAAGCCTTGCCTGGCTCACATTGAGGATGGGCAATGTCACAAACAATCGTCATCAGGTGGAACAACCACAGCAAGCAACAACAAAAAAACCTCGCGCCTACTTTCAGCAGTTTGTTTTTGCTTGCTGTGGTTGTCCCACCTGAAGACGATTGCTTGTGTTGCGATCGAAACGTCACGTGATCTATTTTATCTTCTACCCACGTGACTTTACCGAAAGAACCACGAATGTGAGTGGGTATGGATTCCTGCAGTCACGAAAGCTTCAAATCAAGATGGGCAATATCGTCGTCCAAGGCCGTAATTATAATTTATTGGGGGGGGGGGCATCCCCACATCCCCCCAATATTCAAACATGCTCAAAATGCCCCCCCCCGCCCCAATATATTGCTATAAAATGTATTTCTGTTTATATGATTGTGATTATGGTTGTACTTTATGAATCCCTAATCTCTGCCATTACATACAATGAAACAAGAAAAGGTAAAAAATATAGAAAAAAAACAGAGCAATGTAAATACAATAACACTATTAGACATTATTGTTGTTAAAAAAAAGTACATCCTACGTGTTAGTGAATTATTTTATATTTTAGGCAGGAAATGGCAGGAAATGAGTTTTCAAATTTTGATTTGTTTTTTCTGGCGGGGGGCGGGGGGGGGGGAATCCCCCCCCCCAATGTTGACTCCTTGGCTCCGGCCTTGTCGTCCTATAATGAGCAGCCACGCGCCACGAAAAGTGATAACTCCCCGCAAACCCCACGTCAAACTCACTCCCCCCCTATAGCCTGAACAGACTGTTGGGACAAGTGCTGTTAGTAGCGAGCAGCAGCAGCAGCACTGCCCCATGAAGGATGGCAAAAAATACAAAACACCAAAACGAATTTTCTCCCCGTGACACCAGACACACCAAAGACAAAGATCCCCCGTGTAGCCTGCAACAGACTGTTGGGGCGAGTGCTGTTAGCGAGCAGCACCTATGAAGGCCGGCACGGCACACGAGGGGGTGGGTGGGCCATCACCACGCCCGGCCGCCTTTGTCTCCCAATTGACGATGTTTACTACACACCGCACCAGGTGCTCATCTGAAGCTGAGTCGACCTAGGGGAGGCCCAGGACCAGTTCAGATATTTGCCACCGGTGTTGGCCGTGAGTGGGAATCGAAAGCCGTGGCGCAGTGCGCTAACCGCTGCACCAGGGGCTCTCTTAGGCACTCGCCTCGCGCTCACACACACTCGCTCGCTCTCACGCCAAGCTCTGCGGTCCTCTGTATATCGAGGCGTTACGTGTCAATGAATGCGCCTGCCTACGTGCGAGAAAATCGGAGCTCCCGGGAGAAGTCACGTGCTCGAGGGGATCTGGGGGCAGCACTTTATCCTGCACAGATGGAACAGATGGGAGCGGACACTTTCTCTTCTGCCTTCTGGCCAGCTAACGTCATTAATTAACGGTTGGTCAGACGGGACTAAAGGTTAGCACGAGAGTAAAACCACACACGAGAGAGAGAGGGAGAGCGAAAGAGAAGGAGGAGGTAGTGATGGGTGGGACGAGTGGTGTGCAGGGTGGAGGAGGAGGTGGTGATGGGTGAGACACGTGGTGTGCAGGGTGCAGGAGGAGGTGGTGATGGGTGGGACACGTGTTGTGCAGGGTGGAGGAGGGTTCCACCCGTGAGGTGTGGTGCAGTGGTGGGAGATTGTGAGGGTGCACGATGGATCGTAGGGGCGTGGTGGTTGTCACAGGCAGCAAGGTGACCTCGAAACTGGACACCCCCGAGACTGTTTACACTACTAGCGTAATTGACCGTCATATGACGGGTTCGTGAAAAATAAAATGCATTCAACGAAAAGGGCTGAAATGTTAAGATTGTTTTTAATTAATTTTAATCGAATTTTTTTATACGTAAATCACCTTTTTAGTAACGTTATAAGAGCTGTTTGGGTTACCCATTCTTATCAGGAATTCATGTTTTAATCAAACATTGCTTTCTCCAAACTTACAATTTTTCGTCACCTGTGAGAGTGAATAAAAATATTAAAACCACGAGGTTCTCGACTTGTGTTTGTTGCGAATGTCCAATTGTCGAAGGGATGGTTCAATTACTGTAAGTATCGACTTACTGGATTCTGTATTGAAGTGAATAAAAAACTTTAAACAGGGAGAATTAAAAAAAAACGATAAACAGGGGTTCATATTCTTGGCTCTTTCGGTAAAGTCATGTAGAAGGGAAACAATAAAATAATACAAATATAAATATTGTTTTATATTTTTATTTATTTTTTATTTTTGGTTCTTTCCGTAAAGTCACGTAGAAGGGAAACAATAAAATAATACAAAAATAAATATTGTTTAATATTTTTTTATTATTCTTGGTTCTTTC